AAAAAAAAAAAAAGCATTTGAAAAATATATACAAAAATATATAAAATTATTATGCATAATTCACTGATTAGAACAAAACAGCCAGCAGCCTGTCGACAAAGCCAGAGTCCTGGAAGCCCCATGTGCCACCTCTCTGATCATGTCCTCTCTCCCAGCCCTGGAGGCAGCCACACTCTTCAGTTCTGAAGTCATCAAGCCCTGGCATTTTCTTTTAATAACTGTACAACCCAGGCATGCACAGCCATCCCTCGGTATAAATGGGAGACTGGTCCCAGAACACCCCGCGGAACCCACATCTATGTGGTGATTCTGTATCCATCCCAAGAACACTGCGTTTTCCAGGACCCACACTGCATCTATTCCTAATGGCTTCTTTCTTTCACTCAACACTGTTCACGAGACATATCCGTGGTCCTGAAACTACAGTTCATACTTTTCCACAGCTGTGCGGTATGAATCCACCGAGATTTGCTCCCTTCTGTGGCTGATGGGCGTGCGGGTTGTTCCGTTAGTTTTTACTTTAGATATGAACTGCACTGTGATGACCATCCTGTCCTTGTCTCTGGACATCTGTGCAAGAGTTCCCAAAGGGACATGCCTTGTGGTTGAATTGTTAAGCCACAAGCGTTCAACCAGACCCTGCCAAATGCCTTTCCAAAGAAGGAGAGCCGTTCTACGCACCCCCCAGGTCAATGCCACTGGCTGGGAATGTCCATCAGTTCACCCTCCGCCTGCAGGCGGCTAGGAAATGGTATTGCATTATGGATTTCATTGATGTGTCCCTAATTACTAATAAGGCTGACGTTCCTTTAATGTTTATGTGCTGTTTATATTTTCTAAACTATGAAACGCCTGTGCCTATCTTTTGCCCTTTTTTCTTTTTCACTCAGAATTATAAGAATTTTGGGGGGGGACGGGATGGATGAATTCAACTTAATGGGCATGATGCATACATTCTGGGAGGTAGACACCAGTCAGACCTTGACTCAAACTGTACAGAAATATAATGCATGTAACCAAAACTTCTCCACCCCTGTAACATTCTGAAATTAAAAAAAAAATAAATTTTAAAAATAAAAAAGAAATTTGTACATAATTGAGATACTAGCTCTCTGGGCTTTGTGTCTCTTTATAGTTCCTTTGATGAACTGAATGTCTTTTTTTTTT